ATTAATTTGAAATTTTAAAAATTGGCCGATTTCTTTATCATTTTGTTGACAAGTGGGGCTTGAAAATTTGCCCGCCCTCTTAAGTGGGGAATGACAGAAAAAGTTTGAGAACCACTGCATTAGTAAGTCCTTTTCTAGTTTTGCTCTGACCAACCAATCAGAGGACGGAAAAATGCTGACGTCATTGTGGGCCAGCTAGCTGGCCCTGTGAGGTGAATTTGAAATCCCATTGCTAATACAGTTTAAGTTACATTGGCCAGCACTACTGATTCTGAAGGCCCTGGGCAGATTAGATTGAAATGGCAACACATAGAGGCTGAAATCTGATTGGACAAAAAATCTGACATCCATATACACATACTGGAAGCGGTGCAGCCAAGAGAAACGCTACGAAATGAAGAGAATAGACTGTTGGGAATAAATTAATACAATTTCATGGAACAAATATTAGAATTTAGGTTGTAACTGTAGGTCAGTGCTTCTGATAGTGTTTAGGCCAGCAGAGAAGGCCTTGCTGGCCCTGACTGCCCACCACTGTCTTATATACAGTATGTCCCTCCTGTTTTCAGTAAATCAGCTAGTGTTCTGAGAACTCCAGAATTATCAGTGCGACTGAATTAATCACTCTTGTTAAGCACCTAATCACAGTGTGATAGCACTCGAACTATCTAGTGCCCTAATCTAACGAGGTATTGAATATTAAAATTAATATGCATGTTCATAAGTGTAGTCATTTCTGCTACACAATTCTCTTATATATTTATACCAACGAGAATCTTTCTGCATTGTGGTAGGCCAACCAGAGTCTAGACATTTTATGTATGCAGCTGTATTAACACATACAACACCTGCCTCATAAACAGGGCTGTATGAGCCTTCCTGCAGGACTCTGGAGCCGCAGGAGGGCTCATTAGCTGCCAGACAACCCAAATGACTTCAAGTGAAGTGACTCAACATGAGTCGTGCATAGATAGAGAAACTTGGTTCATGTCAATGTGAGTAATAGGAATTATCTTCCACCTGTCTGCACAGCATTACTCAAACTGATGGCTACCCTGTATGTGTCACAGTTGCACCTCCTCCCAGTGCAGGAAAACTGCTTTAACTACCCAGATTTCCAGTTGTATTCAGTAGAATCAGGCTTTTGATTGATTAATACAGCAGAGAGAATTTTTAATGAAGGACATTCACTGGTCAAAGACATAGATGACTCGAAATGTTCATCTTAAAGCATCTGTGTGCATCTAAAGCACTAACCTAGGCAGTCATCCTCCACGGAAAGAAAACAATCCTGAAATACTCATAAGGGTGGTATTTACTGATTTTGGCCGTGACCACTGCTGGATGTTGACATTATATCTGCTACCTTACAATTTACATCTTAATGGGCTCCAATTGCCATTGTCATGACTTTAACAATACAGATGTATTGTGTTACAGCAGTGCAATATTCCTCATGAATTAATCCCATTCTGTGTTTAAAGGAATGTTAAGTACATTTTGCTGATAAAGAGAAATGTGTGTTTAACTTGTTTTGTATAGGATTTTAACCACTGGAACATTACCCAGTATACAGTAGTCTGTAATAGGACATTCAGCTTTGACAGAGAAAAAAGACAAAGACAAAGCCTCCCGAGGGGACACGGGTGAGCTGAAGGGGAGGTGTGGAGGGAGAGAGGTGAGGCAAATATCCTTTGAGATGAAATTGAGTCATAACTCAGTCAAATCATAACACACAAATGTGAAATGCATATTGACATTATTCAGTGTGACTGGCAGTTACTGTGAATATCAGATTAGTGGAAACACCTTTGATTTACTCCATTTTCACACAGAAGTCACAGATTCCTCTCTTTGCTAATAAAAAGACAGAGGGACCAGCAATTTTTCATACTGAATGCAGGACAGTGCTCTGGACAGGATTTAAATTACAGAAAGACCAGTGAGCTCACAGGAAAACAGCAGGTGATTGTGGCTGTTCTTATTATCAGGGCAGTGGTGAAAAATTAGAAGCAACATGTTTGAGAGGGGAAGACCGTCTGACAGATGTGCTCTGGTGCCATTAATTAGAGTCTGGTTAAACAACTTTCACAATACCCAGGTGACCTTCATAATGGCTAGGATCCATGCTCACAAGTTGCTGGGAACATCAGTACAAAGTCTCTGGCATATGCAGACATTATTCCAACAAGACAGTTCATCCTTGAACCAATAGAAGGGCACCAGTTCAGCTGAGACCAGGGCCACCCATGCTGGGTGAGAATGAGCAACTCTGGGAGAATATAGGGTTTTCCTCAGAGTTGAGCAAAAGGTCCTGAAAGGAGACTGTGACCTGAAGGCAGGGTGAGGATAAAATTTTAGAACCTATCTCTTCCTGGTGTTAATATCTGTATGTTGATATGCCTCCTGGATAATGCCTTATCATGACTGTTTGCATTTACACCATCACCTGCAGTTAGGGTCTGATTGATTTGATTCCATTCTGATTACGATCTGACTGGACAGGTCGCCAATCCATCGCAGGGTACGATCTGATATGTCTGCATTTAAACCTGCTTTAATCTGTTTTTCCTTGTCAAATGTTAATATCCAGGGAAACTATGGCTCTAATTTTGGCCTTAAAAATGTTAGGTAGCCTTGCCCTAAACCCTCTGAACAATGAGGGTGGTACAACTGCTCCCTTAAATTCAGCCATTAAAACAAAGGTGACTTTCTGCTTGATATATTAAGCACCATTTCCATGGTGGCGTTAAGCTTTTTTCCCCTTCCTGCTTCTCGCTGCCAAATTTCTCTCCTGAGAGTTGCAGCCATATACAAATATTTTGCTTTGTGTCCTTTTCTTACTGAGCCATCCGTGTCACACTACCTTCACTCCTCTATTCCTCATTTTTGTACAGGGCATCAATAAACTGCCTTCTTACATCTCTCAAAGAGTTTCTTGAGTGTGATTTGTAAAACACATATTACAGAAGCCAGTTTAATAGTGTTTGCTGTTATCACCACTGTTTTCAATTTGCTGCAGTAAATAAAGCGGTTTGAAGCTGGAGAAGGATCAAGGTTAGGCTTGTCCCAAACTGACCCTGGTCCTGATTTGAACCTGATCCAATATAACTTAGTTTTAGTATAAACTCAACCAAGGTTGTTTTTCCTAGTGTCCCGATATACACAAAAATGTGCATTTTGTTTTCAGAAGATAAAACCTTGCTGCTTTCCATTGATGGCTTCCGTGTATGTGCCTGTGTGTGTTGGGGTGGGAGTGGGGGTGGATAGACATCCTACCAAGGCTGGAAGAAAGTGCGACTCTGTAACTCCTTTGTTAGAGCAGAATCAATAAAAACACTGGTATCAATAGAATCTTATCAATTCCCATCTACACTATGTGAGGCCACACCTAACCATCATGAGGCAGCAACGTGGAATTACGGATATTATGAGGTAATTTGCTTCTGTATTTGAAAGATTCCACAGTAACCAAAGTGTCTGCAGCCACTGTGAGGATTGTACTGTGTCCATGTTTCACAGAAACGTGATAGTTCTTTTTTTTTATAGGGTATGTATGTATATAATGCACAAAGTAGCAGAACCGTAACTTTTATATAAACAGGCTGGGTCATGCCAGCCATGGTAGTGAGTGGCCTCTTGTATATTAAGGTTGTGTCAGCTGGTGCTGGAGCTATCAGAAAGGCATCCTGTGCTTGTCTTCCTACCCCAAGACCATTCTGATGCTACCGTGTTGTCAAAGACCAGACAAAACACAGGGATTGTTCTGCTGTATTAGGTCCAAAAATTGTAATTGTACTGTTACAGCAAACCCATTTGAAAAAATTCTTAATAATTCCTAAAGACTGCCCCTAAATGATCTTGTCAGTGCTGTTTTCATGAGATTTTCTTTGAGTTTTGCAGTTGAAAATACATAAATATTCTAAAGGGCTTTCAACACAAACCAGAAAACAAACCTTATCCCTCATGCAATTAGCCTTTGACCAGCAGCAGTTCTGCCTGTGGGACCCTGATCATTGGGTAGAGCCTGTCTTGCTCCTCCAGAATGTTGCATAAATACAAACATGTATCAATATTAGACTTCTTCAGCTAATGCAGCAATTGTCCATATCATGACCTGTTAATGAAAGAGAATAGGCCTAATTCAGATACAGTACATAGCAGCATAAACAAGTAAAACCATCTTGAGGAATGTTTTTTTTATGTTCAGCAGAGATGATGCTAGGGTGTGGTCAGCCTAGCACAAAGCATTAAGACTGAAAGCAGTTTGAAAAGTGCCAAAAGAGTTCTGTTCACAATTCAAAAACACACCTGCCAACACCTCTAAATTTTACTTTTTTTTTTACATAAATGGCTAAAAATGTATTGTCTTGGACCGTAACATGGTCACTGATACCACTGAAAGCATCCTCTCCGAAAATATGACCTTACAGGTCATCTGTGCCAGCAGCTTATGTCCCATTAGAGTTGCATTTTATTGTTAGGTGACTTAGTAGTAGGAAATCAGGTGATGTTGAATAAAGAAGCATAGTTAGGGAAGAGGATGTAGAGAGAAAACACATGACTGTGACACTCCAGATTGTTGTTCATTGCCTGTTTCAAACTAATAGTCTTTGCCGTTTCAGTTAACCATGGCTGTTACACAAACTTTACCACATTTATTACTGTAACCTTAATGTCAAAGGGTACTATTTCAGGAGACCACCTGACTGACTGTTCCATTCCTAATGCTAAGCTAGGCTAACCATATCCTGATTCCTGTTTGTGAAAGGGCTCAAACAGGATATTGTTTTGTGGATACTGTGAATTAAAAGTGTTGTTTATATATTTCTAAGTATACAAGTTCCTTGAGACTCATTTGTTCTTTGTCTAAGATGCGGCATTCTCATACTTTAAACAGTATTAAGGAGGTTTCCCACAGAGAGTTAAAAACAGACACAAATTTGAATGGACATGTCACAGATGATTACTTTAATCCTCCTCTGCTGTTGTCTGTCTAGGTGATTGAGTTTGATGATGGCTCTGGCTCGGTGCTGCGTATTCAGCCTCTGAGGACACACCGCGATGAAGCCATTTATGAATGCACAGCCACCAACAGCGTGGGAGAGATCAACACCAGTGCCAAGCTTACTGTCTTAGAGGGTAAGACCTGGATGTCTGTATGGCTTCCTACCTGTCTCACTAATCATTCACACATCCCACATGTCATAGCTGCTTCATTCCGACCCCTGCTGTCTCTCAGCCTGTCCTCACCTCCCTGTGTCTGACATCTCTAGGGTTTTTTGTGCTCATGAGATCCTATGTTGCCTTTACATTAGAGCTGCTCCTCCTGTGTATAGACAACACACTGAGCACTATTCTTGCCTGTTTGTACTCAGTTTTAATCATTTGGTTCAATTCAAGTCTGTTTTAATGGAACAGTGTTGCAGTGAGTCACGGTGCCTCAGGGGCCCATGATTTGATGAACTGGTGCCGGTGAGTTCTAGTGAGAGCCAATGAGTAGAGAAATTAGAACTTTTCCAGGGGCCCAAACCTTTGGGACCATTTCTCCCATTATTTAATCATTTTTTTAAAAGAGTGTCAACACATCATGTGTAACAGAATTTAAAGTGTGGTTGGATGCTTCTTACTAAGATGAACTTTGTGAGTCATAATTATTTTCTCCTTATGTTTGTAGAAAGTGAATACTCAAAAAACTCCCACATTGCAACTGTATTTCTGTCTTCTAGGTTACATTCTAAAGCAGAATAAAATAGCTGATGCTACTTTGAATACAGGTGCTTTGGTAGTTTCAGTCCAATTTGTCAGCACTGCCTGTCCTTTATATGAATCCATATGAAATGTGCTGCAGTAAATTCAAAGAATGGCGTTTTCTTTATGTGAAAATAGCATCCCATACTCTCTAAAAATAGTTGTTGGTCTAATCTGTTTAATCTTCTTGGTTGTTCAGATAGAGCGGAAACACAAACAAGAGGTTTGCTTTTGAACAATGGTGTCACAAACTGGCTCACAGAATGTGAAAAGGAGGGAGTCAATGTAAATAAAACAAGCAGGATTTAATTCAAACTAACAAAAACACAAAGTAAAAAAAGGCAAATCAGCACATGGACCATCTTTTATAGCCACAAAGGCCCAGTGATGCACCTGTACAATGGCTAATGACCCTCACATATCAGTTAATCCTACTGAGGCTGGCCAGGTCAGGGATGTTACACCCTCCCTCTTAAACTCAAGACAGATACATAAATGAGAACAGTCAAAGACAACACAAAGCATAAATGTGAGAACATTTCTCATTCCTTCAAGTTTAAACAGTTTTTCACCCTAATCCCCAACAAACCAGACGGATAATTACTCAGTAGTTGAAAAATGGAACCTCCAACCAAATAACTATCTTAGGGTGTTTTCACACTTGGTCCCTTTCAGCCCTCAAAACAGACTCAGAGTGATTAGTCAACATTTTTTGTGTAAATGTGAACACTCTAAACAAACTCAGACTCCTTTGTTTCAAGTCTGCAATGTCATTTGCTTAATCTGTGCATTGTAAACACGAAGCACTCCAGGTTCACTTCTAGTCTTTTGTATGTAAGGGCAGAAACACCAGCAATGTGTTGAAATATCTAGTGAGAAAATAAGAAATAAAGCAATTTTAACTCTGTTTATAACTTTTTTACTTAAACAAAATAACAAAAGCAACTAATAGGAGCAAAGCAATAATTAATAAGATTAATATGGAGTATTGTAGTAGTACAGTTAAAAAATGTAATGATACCCATATGGATGAGTAGTTTGGTGCAAGGAAGAAACTACTGCACTTCTCCAGATAGGGAACAAGCAGTACACCAAACTACAACTGTTTAACGTGCACAGACACGCCAAGATTTTCCTGGTGGCCCTTAACAAACCAGGGAAATGTTCCCAGGACATGATATTCACTCATGTTCTCTTTCACACTAAAGTGAAAATGACTTGATTGGTCTCCTATTGACACCAACCACTTAGGCCTACAAAGGGGAGGCATGGCTTGTAAAATGACATGTGGCTAAACTCATCCAAAAGATGTACATTTTAAATCTCAAACTAATGGCTTTGCAAACCAAACAATGTGCGGACACTACTCCCTTCCAACATCCAAGAAAATGTACACCACAAAGGTAACCAGTGCGCAAACTGAACAAAAAGTGTACAACTGAACAAAAAAAACCTTGCATGATACTCTCAATACCAGGCACATCAATGCATTCTTCTAAAACTAAACTGCATTTACTTCACTGGACCCAGTTGGTCCAATTATAATGGTCGCTACACAAGCTGTCCAAATATTACAAGCCTCCATGTATCTCACTAATGCTAGATTTAACCATACCAAAGGGGTTTGGACATTGAAGATGAGTCCCTATCTGTAGTGATAACCTTGCGCATTGGCATCCAAAGTTTGTCGCATTAGTGCCCTCATCTGTGCATCTGACATTTAACTTTACAGATGCTTAAGCATCCACTATGATGGAGTATGGATCAAATTAACCCTAGCCCTAACTGCCTAATCTCCTAACCCTATGATCTAAATCAAATCATTTAACCTTGTTCTTGTAGCACAACTGTACTTCTTGATTCTGTTTATAGTAGCTCTCTGTTTGTGTGCTTTAGTTCCTTTTCTCTGCACCTTGTAATCATTGAAATAAAAGATGCTGTGCTCTGGTTCTTGACACTAGTCACAGCTGCCAGTGTGCTATTTAGCGTATGTCCTCTTTTTAATCTGGTGATTATTCTCTCCTTCTTCCTGTTTTTCTTAAAGAAAAATTTTTGTAGCTAATTTTGGTTGTGTGAAATACAAGTGTCTTTGTTTTGTTTCTTCATACAATCCTCATTGCCAACTGCTAACATCCCATGGCCATATTAATATAAAGTGGGAGCTCTACTACAGTTTCTTGCTTTAAATGCCTGTATGGGTTGACACCCTTAGAAACGGGATTGCAGTTGTCAGGTGATTGAGCCACTATAATCATGACTTCCATTAACATATCCGGGTAAGCTCGTGATGATCCTATTTCAATACTCTTTAAGCCTAGAAACTGAGCAGTAGTATAAAGTATGTCTTATTTTACTTCCACCCACTGAGAGCCATTAGGATTGCAATCATTTCTATTGTTTATACTGATAGTGTATTGGAAGTTCTTTTTCTTGCAGCAACACTTAGTTATGCGAGGGAGAGCAAATCAGCACATGGGCCAGTTATATTATAGCCACAAAGGGCAAGAGAAGTGCATCTGCTAACAACCTTCCCACATCAACCAGTCTGCTGAGGCTGGCCAGGTTGAACTCCAAGTCCTTAGGAGGGGCATCACAACAGACTACATGTGGCCTGTACTGTGTTCAGCTGCAGCAGTGCTATGGCACCGTTACCTTTAACAGGGTTTGACTTGTGAGGAAGAGGGCTGACATAAACCACTGTTTAGCATACATCCATATCATAAAGTGAGGGTATTATATGAGTCCTGACTCACTTTGAATAAAGTTGGACTGTTGGTTACTTATGCTTCTTAGATATATTGAATGTAACATTTAATGTTTACTGTGCTTATTCCTTTATTTACTCATAGTTTAATCCTTATTGTGTTGATTTGTCTATATTCTAATGAACTTGTACAATTATAAGTTGAATATGATTTAGTGAAGCTGAAAAGCTCATTTAACTGGTACAAAAATGTAAAGTGGTTGCTGTGTTCATTCTTTTACTTTAAAGTACTTATAGATTCTCTTAGAATTGTATCACATATTCATTAAAACGCATCTCAGCTACCTTATTGTATAGATGGTAAATAATGGATTTTATATATAAAAATTCCCTTCTCACCCCTACGGGGCGGCGTTTGTCTTCCTCAACCTCAGGTCTTCTACCAGAGGGAGTTTGAGGGTTCTGCGCAGTATCTTACCTGTACTTATCACCACTCTCTTCTGAACAGAGAGCTCCGAAGTTGTTTCTCAGACCTAGTCTGAGTCTTCTAGTTTAGGAGTCACAGCTCCAAGTGGTCCTACCACCATTGGGAACACTTTGGCCTTTACCTTCTATATCCTCTTCATTACTTTTTCAGGCCCTTCTTCTTGATGTTGGTGTCATTTTGAACAGCTATATCTATCACCACTACCACCTTCTGCTCCTTGTCTACTACCATGAGGTCTGGTTGGTTGGCCACTATCCCAATCTCAGTGAAAAGAGGGACCACAGTACTCCTCATTTATGTACAATCTCTCAACAGCTGAACCCGTTAGTAGATAAACAGTCATAAATTATATTACACATCCTGAGATGGCACAATACAAGATCCTGTCATCTCAAGTTGTCTTTTTTCCCTGGCTATTTAAAAATGATGATTGAAGTTATTTTAGATTTCAGTTTCTCGAAAAGGCACTGATTTCAAAGTGCTTACAAAAATGTAAATGAATTTCAGCTGGATTCAGGTGTGGAGACATCCCATCTCTTGTAATAAAGTCATGTTTCAGTTATAAAATCCTAATATTTCACAGGGCAATTGGACTGACAAAAAAATTGTGGTTCCTGGCAGATGATTCGAATCATTAAAGAACCTAACAACTTTTTTGTGGTTATTTTATTAAATCAAAACAGTTCATTTAACATTTTGCTTGGAATTGTATCTCTACAACAGACACATTCCTGC